GTCAAGCTTAGCTCCTATTTGTATACATTTATCCTTATTATTTTCAAAAAATAGCATATGTATGATATCTTCTATCAGTTTTAGTTAATTTATATTAATTTCAGACTTTTGATCAATGATTTCATTTTTGTTCACTTAGGCTGAGAATATTTCCTACGAGAAGAACAAATCCCAACATTAGTGTTTGGATGTTTATTTTATTCGTTTAGAAAGATTCATGCATTAGTATGAAAGTATAAACTTCACAGCTCGATAAATGTAGTCATTCATATATTCATGGAACATATTAAGAGCTCAGTTTAAAATAATGTTAGTGCTAGCTTAAGAGTTTAGAGTAAAAAAATTTTCAAAAAATATTTACAAATTATAAGCATAAAAGCTCATTGTTGGCTTTTAAAAAAGCATTTCTCATTTTTTCTCGACTTGGTCGGTCTCATGCTTTTTACCCAGGTTGTCTTCCTTACTTTTACTTTTTTAACCTCAACCTTTATCTCATTTTTTGCTTGGATCTTTTCGACCCTGGATGAGTTTTTAGTTTACTTTTTGGTCTTGCCTTCTATGGTTGTAACATAGCACTATCTTGTTGTCTATTGGTTTCTTCAAATCTTTTCGACTTTATTAGGAGTAGAAAATTTGATTTTAAGGTGAAAAGTTGAATTAATGATTCTTATAATAGACTATCTTGGCTATCCTAAAATCATGTTATATGTTAATGGGATGTTTACCACAATGAATTCAATGACTGAAGTGATACTCCTTGACTTGATCCTAGTGTGATTGACAACCTAATTGTACCTTTTATTGGCACCTGCTCATTCCTAAATTCGATCAGGGTGGTAGTGAAAGCTTTTAACATCTCTTTAGTGATCCTCATCCTCAACATAATAAAGTAGTAAAGGATGTAAGCAATCTCCTGTTATTAAACAAAATCTTTTTCACTACATGATTGTATACCAAAGCTTGTATAATAATAGCACCTTCATATGAAAACTGGATTTCTTCTAAATCTTTCGAGTTGAAGGAGACCACTTATCCTTCTAACCCTTTTGCTTTTTAGTGGTAGATCCAATAGCTATAACTATGCCATGATCAAACTTCTTTTTGGTTGACATCGAGCTTTTGCTAGTTATCATATTGATGATACCTATAATGGGTTTGTTATCCGTATCATTTCTCTTTTTATCTCTCTAGTCGACCTTACGATCAGTATTACCTCAATCACTGTCTTTTCTTCTCTCTTCTTGATTCATTGATTGTTTTTTTCTGTCTTGACCTTCAAAATCCTCTCCCTTCTGTCCTTGCTTTATTCGTTTCACAAATCTGTTTAGTCAATTTATTATGATCAAGTTCTCTATTTTATTCATCAAGATGATATAGTCATCGGCGTTCTGACCATAATCTCTATTAAAAGCACATCTTTTGATCGGGTCTCTTCTGCTATTTATCTCAGTGACTTTGGCCATCCGAGCTTAGAGTTCTTTTGTATTCGCATCAGAATCCTCTCTCGAAAGGATTTAAGTGTTGTGTAGTCATTATATCTTTTACTTGAGCTTTTTGCCCAAAGGTACCTTTAGATTTTTTCCTTTTTAGGGGTTGTTGATTTCTCTTTCTTTTCTAGAAATGAGGTGAGGGGATTTGTCTCTCTCACATTGGTTACTTTTAATTGTAGCTTTAGCATTAATGTACTTCACGATGATTAAAAACATGTAAGCTAAAGTCTTTGATGGTTTTAGAGAGAAGGTGAGCTTGAAATGGTATTGCTTGTCATTCAGCCCGTTTGTTAGGGCGACTACTATTGTAGCTTGTTTTAGATTTTTAACTTGAAGAGCTTCAACATTAAAATGTGTGACATACTCTTTTAAGGATTCATTTATTCCTTAGTAGATAAGCATTAGGCTTAATGTAGTCTTTTTTTGTTCATCGGCTATTGACGAAATGGGTTAAGAAAGAGTGACTGAGCTACTTGAAAGAAGAGATGGTCCTCAGCTTGAGATTGGTATGCTATGATCGAGCTTTTCCCTTTAGTGCTATGGTGAGCCTTTTGCACATAAGAGGTTCCTTAGCTCCCTATATCAACTTATTAGTTTTATAAAACTCAAGGTGATTAAAGGGATCAGGCGTACAGTCATAAGTTTCCAAAGTTGACATTTTGAATCCTTTTGGTGGCAGAGCTCAATCAATGTCCTTCGTAAATAGAGAAGTTTCCAAGAATTTTAGCTTGTTATCAAAAGTGAAAGCTTTATTCTTTAATTCTTTCTCCATCGCATCCATCTGAGCTTCCAAATCTTTATTAAGTTGTGGTTCGGAGGTGGTTTATTTGGATTTTTAGGTGGTGGTCTGTGTTTGGGTGTTTGTAGGATATTGGCTCAGAGGTGTTTCGTATTCTTTAGGTGCTGACGAGGCAGCACTGTCATCGTAGGTCAGCAGCTTTTATGTTGTTAGGTTTTTCAGGGTTGTAAAGTTTGGTATTTTGGAGGTTCATGGAGGAGTCAGGTTTTGTATCATCATTTTAAAGGAATGTAATTATTGGCTGAAGGCTTCAAATTGCTCCATTGTTAGGGCTATCTATGATGGTAGGTTAGGGTTTTGTTGGCTAAGTTGGGTAGTAGTCCTAGTTGCAGCATTATCTTTTTCTTCAACAACTTTTTTCCTAGGTGCCATGGTTAGCTCGGTTAAATGAAACAGCCCCTTACCTAGCACATTAAAATATTGGTGCTGAACTATCTTGTTGAGGGCAAAAACCTAAAATCACTAGGTGGGAGGTCGGTTAATAGCAAAGGTAAGAGATTTATTCAGCGTTTATGCTTTGTTGCTCAAGTTAGGGCTTGGGTGACCCGAGCTCCAAGTAGTAGGATTAGGGCTAATGTTGTTGGCCAGGCTTGAGCTAGCAGTCAACAATCCAGTTGTAAGGTAACAGCTCAGTATTCTTATGAGCCATTTGGTAGCCAGCTGAGGTGACCGAACTGAAGTGAGAACTGAAGCTTCAAGTCAGACTCCACAAGTTAGCTCAAGTCAAAATAACCAAATTACCTTCGTCTAATTGGTAATTCATTTTTTAAGCAAAATGTGTATTCAGCCTTTTACACCATAAAACGATGAATTATTAAGCTTTTGTGGTGAGTTGCGAGCAGAAGATGCATTATTTAATTTCCCATCAAATTGTTAAATGATTGCTTTTGTCATTTAACCATAATTCTTCAGTTATGATGTATGCATTTTCCAATAATTTGGTTTTCTTCATGATTCGTTAAATAGTTACATTCGTGGTGAGGTGTCAGTTTAGACTTTATCTATCTTCCACTATGTAAATTCAATAGCATTCACATCCCTACCTGAAAACTATCAGGTTAATTTGCTAGCTTAAGGGGAAAACAAGTTGCTTAAATGCAATGTTGTTAAATAGATGTAGCTAAACTGCCAGATTTCCCAGAAAACAAACAGAAATGAAGAAGGTTTTTCTAGGTGCCTAATTTCTACAGATGCAGTCTCCGTTGTTGAACTCATCAGCTGGTTAAGATATATATTATTTCTTTCAAGAATTTTAATTGATTTAATATTAGAACTTATAGAGGCAGTCAGTTAGATATAGTACAATAGACTAACTTAATTAAAGTGAATATGCAGTTTAAAATATACTGAACGCCTAACACAAATTATTCTTTTAAACATAACAGCTTATTAGTTAAGGAATATTTCATTTGCTGAGTATATTTTCCGTTCTCCAGTTGGAAACTTTGATGCATTGTTCTCCTAATACTAGTTTGCCAGAAATCAAGCAACACAGCCTTATAACGTGTATCTGACACAATAATATTAAAGCATGTGTAGGGGCTTCCAATCAAAACAGGTAAGTACTGATCCTTTTTTTTTTCAAATATATATGTGTGTGTGTGTGTGTGTGTGTGTGTGTGTAACTTATAGCTACATATTACTTAAATATATGTGATTAAAACTGCTTGTCTTGCATGCTCTTTGAGAAACATTTTAATTTGATGCAAGGAATTTAGAAAGTTTAGCATGTTTGAATGTTATGATGCAGTCATAAGGCAAGCCATAAATAAATTAGCTACAACTGCTAGGGATATTATGACAACAAAAAGTTTCACGGTACTTCTATGGTAATTAAGTTCATCTAATAAGTACAGAAACTTACGCGGGTTTACTGCAGGTAGCATCCAAAAGATATCTTTTATGTTCAGCAAAGAATGTCCATTGAAGTTCATTACTCTAAATTGTAAAGTCTTCAAATCAGTTCAGTTTCTTTGTTCTCCTTATGCTCATTAATATGAAATTTTGATTTGGCTTAGCAAAAAAGTTCGGTTTCTATTCTTTCATAGAGCATAAGTTGATGTCATGCAATTGTTAAGCCAAATGTTATGAACATTGAGAGGCTCCAAATATCTTATCATATTCCACTTCAAGATATGAAATATGCATATTATATTCTATTATAAATGGTCACTACAATCCCTACAATTTCCATAATGCTTGTGCACCTTATTTAAGGTATATATAGTAGTATAAAATTTTAGCAGATGATTGATATGTTGAAATATCTCCCACTTAGGTGTGTATAAACTTTGAAAAACATGAATTGAAAGTGGGAAAACATTAGCTGAAAGGGGTAGTGGATCATCCATGCATCTATTCAATCATTTCCTAAAAGTTAAGCTGAATTCTTTCGTTGGAATGCACTTACGAACTTACATCAGCAGCATATGAGCCAAGTAGCAACCAACTTTTAAGACAGAGGAAGTGTTACATAAACTGGTTGAAAAGAACTTTAGCATGGAAATATGTCAAGTAGAATCAGATATAGAAACTAAGGCAATTATTGACACACAAACACACACACACACATACATATATAGGGGAATGATGAGAAAAATAAATTCATATTGCAGTACACTTCTAGCTTGTTAATATACACGGGCTCAAAGAAGATTAGCTATCAGAAAAGAATTAATTTTGTAACTGTTATCAGCCCTTTTAAGCTGTTGACTTGATTGTTCTAATTTAGGTTACCGTGAATCTAAGATACTATATTTAAATACTTAGAACAGAAACAAGGAAAGCATAACATCATTCTAATTATAATTACACACAACAATAATCATTGACAATAGAGTCCACAAGAAAATTCCAAATAGATTTTAAAAAAGAAAAGAAAAAGCAAGTCCATATTACATTCCCTACACAAAGAAAGTCATACATACATAGCATGCCTCTAATATTTATCCACATGACTCGTCAAAGAACTCAAGAAGTAAGGGAAAACCACGTTTTCACAGGTTTTTATTGTTGTAGGCCTCCCATGGTTTGCCAAAGGACATAAAGTCTGTGAGCTGATGCTGCAAACAAATATATGGGCTGGTCAGAATTTTGATTCAGCTACTTCATCTTGGACATTTTTTTTTGCTATACGAGTCTTTTATCATAGTTCTAGTTACGCTTGAGTCTAGAATTATCAATAGCAACAGGTTTGGTTATAAATCAAGAAACTTTGCTGGGGGGGACTTACCTCTTGGTTAATTCCAGCGTTTTGCAGACAATTGAACATCGAATTTGGGCTCCACTTATTCATAATTGCCAAAGATTCATCAACCATATCCCAATGAATCCTTATGTGCTCTCCATCGCGAGAGCTAAGCTCTTTAAACTCAGCTAACACGGCCTCCAAGGAAGGATTGTTCCTGTTGTGATCTTGAATGCCAGATTCTTCACCAGTCTCAAACGAACTCCAAGAACTGAATTTATTCAGATCATTAATGTTTCTGGTGTCATAACATAGCTTTGATTCATCAAACCTTTGAGTCCACATGATCTTTGCTTTTGTCCTCGCCTTTGCCCTTGCCCTGGCCTTTTCTCTCAAATCCCTTGCAAGAGGGCCGAAAGTGATTTTACGTGGCTGTCTAACCTTTTTCTCTTTTGTTGAAGGTTTCCCCTTAGAGAACCTTCCTTCGATAGAAGCCTTGTCAATTCCAGATACCACCTCACCTTCCGAAGTTGAAGATGGACTCTTTTCAGCGGCAACGTTGCAACTGTTATTCATCTGGGAAAGCTGGCTTCTAGCTAGCTTCTTGATTTCTGGCTTTGCCTGGATGAGTAACCACTCAACAGTTCTACTAGCCTTATCATAGCCTAGTATGTCTTGCAAACCAAAGAAATCTCGAGCAACATCAAGAGACAGTCTCATTCTCCGATCTCTTGGTCCGTTAGCTGTATTAATCTTGCTGTGCCGATCTCTCTTGGAAGATGATGATCTCTTTCGCGGTATCTGCTGCTCAGCGGCATTATGGCTTTTTTTGGTGCAGTCAATGGTTGACTCCTCGTTCTTGCTGGAGTCAGGCATGTTAATGATGGTCTCCGAAACTGAATTATCAGTCATCAGGGTTTGGTGATGAAGTAAGAGATCATGGTATTGATGGAGGAAAAAATCATGGTCTTCGAGTTCTAACTCACATTGATTATAATAGGGAGATGGAAAATGAAAAATGGAAAGAGGGAGGTCATCGTGTTTGGAATATGGGGTGATATCAGTAGAAAAATGTCTGTGGAGAATTGAATGGTCAATGTAAGTGATTGGGTCATTGTTGCCATTGTTGTTTGAAGGAAACATTTGAGAGCTTTGTGATTGCACTGAACAACCCTAGCCTCAGGAGCTAGATGGTGGGACTAGCAACTTGAGAATGACACATGCACCATTTATCTCTAAAGTCTAATAAGGTGTATTTCCTTTGAAATTAAAAACCAGCTCCACCACTTCCATATTTCTGCTGATCACTTCCACCTCTGCAAACAAAACATCAGTGTTAGTGAGAAATTAAACCTCCCCCCATGTGTGTTTTAATTTTCCCCTTAGAGCTAGCTAGCTAGCAGTTAGAAGGCAGCCAATCTGAGTTTTTGTCTTAGAAAGGGTAAAAGAGAGAGAGAGAGAGAGAGTGTTTGTCTATTTACACTTCCCAAGCAAGGACGACTACAGCTTGAGAAAGACAGCAGAGGTGATGTACTCTATGTCTATGGGGGCTGTCTCTGTGGGAAGAGAGAGAGAGAAGAGAGGGAATTGAATAAGAGTTGTGAGGAGCTAAAAAATCCCAAAGAGGGGGGATTTATTGCGGACGAAAGAGCCATCTTTTTCTTAATCTTTGTTATTATTATTATTAGTAGCGATATTTTTATTTGTTAGAGAGAGAGTGTGCGCTTACTGCTTGGACCCATGAATTTGAATGAAAGAGGGCAAAGACAACGATATCGTGGGAAGTGAGTGGATAGGAAACACTTAATTAGTATTGTGCCACTTCACGTGGTTGCTGGTGGGAGATTGACAGGGAACTCTTTTTTTTGTTCCTAACTTTATTTTTCCTATCAAATCAACCTGGCTATCTCGAAGTAGAAATTGCATTTGCATGGTCTCTCTCCATAAATAAGGATTTTTTTTTTTCCAGAAACCGTTGAGTAATTAAGTTTATTTTTTTGACTTGAGGCATTAGCTCGATCATTTAAGGTTTTAATTAAATTAATTAATTTAATTTGATTAATTAGTTTATTATTAAATTATTTTTAATTGATTATTAAAATAATTTTAAAGTAATTTTAATTTTTTATTAATTTAATTTAAAATTTTAATTAGTCAAAAAATTTAATTGAAATGTAGTAAATTTAAATTTAAAATTAAAAATGCATAAAATTAATTATTTTTATAAATTATTAGAATTTTTAATTTAATATTTTGATATTTGAATATTTTATTAAATGATTTTATTAAATTTTATTTATTAAATATATAAAATTAATAGTTTAAATATAAATTAATTTAAATATATTTTATTATTTAATTATTAAAAAAATTAGTGACTTAATTAAATTAAATTTGAAGGATGAATTTTTAAATTTAATAAATTTAATTTAATTAATGAAAATAAAAAATAATTTAATTTAATTTACTTAATTCAATTTTAAAATCATCACCCTCTTTACTTTGCTTTGCCGTGACATGTTATGGCAAGATTCACGTAACACAGTAAGGAAAAACGTGGCTAATGGTAAGTGGTAAGCCATAAGACATTAAGGACAATTATTTTCACCCGCAAAGCGCAGAAACATACTGCGAGGCTCCTTTGACTGGGCATCTCATAGCTAGCTAGGGTCGCTTTCCCCAAAAAGAGAGCCCCTCCCCCATTTCTCTCTCTTTCTTCCCGTCAAGTCTTGAGAATGTTGTTGGTCTCCCTCTCCCATGCGTGCTTATCTGGTTAACTTTTTGTTTGAAAGATGCATCGGTCGATTTATTAATATTTTATATTAAAATAAAGGCCATGAAGTCAAGAAAGACTTGCTTGTGCTTCTACTATCATTGCTGCCTGCTACAAGAGCCTCCCCGGAAACCCTAGCCAATTAGAAATTGCCATAACTAAATATTAATCTGTCTCGTCCAATGGAAATAGTCTCTGCCACTATTTTCCTAATTAAAAAATGATCAAGCCCCTTTCACTCTCTCCTCTGCTCTCTAGCCTTGCCTCTAAACTCTATCTTTAGGCACAGCCACCCTTTGTCACATTTTTTTTCTTTCCATTTATGCCTGCCGTTGTTTCCACTTGGATAAACTCATTTCTCTCTCTTTATTTCTTTCTCTAGCTCATCACTGACTGAGTGTGGCTGGCAGAATTAGGAGGACCACATGATATGGAAGAGATGAGCTTAGGTTGTTCTTAGGTTGCTTTCAAAGATGCGATAACTATGAAACAAAAAATATAAAAAATAAAAATTGATCAAATATGCACCATTTTGAAGTGGGTGATAATGAGAGCATAAAACCCTAAAAGTCTCGGTTAGTTTTAAGTACTTTCATTTCCTTTTTTTGAGTTCCTTTCCCTTGTGCTTCCTGATCAGAGTCTACTAATTATCTTTGGTTGAATATCTATCAGTTATTGAATTCCCACTCCCCCCCCCCCCCCCCCAATATCCACTCACAGGTACGCATGACTTAGATTCATCTGGATTTCAGTCTTTCCCTTCAGGGGATGAACCATTTTCCATTCTAAGCTAAAACATTTAGGTAACTTGTGGGACAATAACCTCTCCACACTGTCTAAATCTGGTAACCATGCATTATCATCAAACAATGCCCTTTCAGACTTATATATGAAAGGTAGCCTTTATTATTATTAATTTATAAATTATTAGTTAATTTTATGTTTCATTCAATTGTCCTATCATTAATTACTTTCAAATAAGGGCGGAGTTATGTAAGGCACACCGAAGCTTAAAAAGTTCTGAAATTATAAATATCTTTAGATAAAATTGAAAGACATCGTATAGATCTAATATATTTGTGGTGAGACTAATAATGAATTTACTAATTATCAATATTACAAAAAAAAAAAAAAAACATTTTCAGCGATGGGCATTTTAAAAATTTATGTGCATAATCAAATGAAAAATCAATAGTTAAATAATAATTTATTTGTATATATTAAAAAAATTTTAATTTGTTATTATTATTATTATTATTAAGCATCTTTTAAATAAAATTTTTAACTCCGAAGCAGCTTTCAAAGCTGGCTAGTGATGCATGTACTGATGGGAAAGAAAGTTTATATACTGCGCATTTTGTCTTCACGGTGTTCAAAAATATCTTCTTGTTTATGATTTCCAACTGGGCATTGTTTTTCGTTGTTCGTAGGAACAGCATGAATGTGGTGGCCATATCCTCTCTCTCTCTCTCTCTCTCTCTCTCATATACACACATATATATGTATATATGTATATGTATGTATGGTTTTGTTGTGAGCTAGCTCCCAGAAAATGGTTAAGGATCCCCACCCAGAAAGGTCTTCGGCCCCAAAAACCCAACCCAAAAAGAATGAAAAAACTTTGAAAAGTAGGAATCACACCTTTTTGGAGTTAAATTTTTTTTTTTTAACGTGCATAAATTGTTTTGAATCCATATCTTTTAAAATTGTCAGTTTTAATGATATGTGAATTAATTCAAAAGTTCGCTGGTTTTTTAGGGTCAAATTAAAATTAGCTAAACTCCTAATCATCCCAATTTTTTTTTGTTAAAAATCTTTATTCTTTTCTCATATCCAACTAAATCCTCAAGGATAATATCCAAAGAAGCATTTGACTTTTATTAAATAAATCCCAGTTATATGTTGTATAAAATTAAAATTATGGAGAATATTTCATATTCTGTTGAAATCTTCTTGATTGGTTGAAGTGACATATAGAAAATGTTTGTCTAGTTTTTATTTGGTTGAGCCTAACAATGACAAATACATAAGCTAATGTTATTCTATTAATTCTAGTGACTAGATTTTATTTATTCATTCTCAAATTTAATATCTATAATTATAATTTTTTAAAAATAATATTTATTGTAGATATCCAATTTTATTCAAGGTTTTTTTTTTTATATTATTGGGTCTCAAATTGTATTTTGATATTGATTTTTAAAAGTCATTTTTAAACCCAAATTTAAAGGTTCAAAAGTGTTTTTTACTTATTCATTTTATTTTATTGTTTTTTATTTTATTTTATTTGGCAAAAAGTTAAAATTCAAAAAAAATTAAAAATTAAAAATTAAAAATAAAAAATGTGAAAATTTTTTAAAATAAATTTTTCTTTAGATTGTAATTAGATTTAGAAATTGATTAGTGAATTTATTTTGGTAATATTTAGGAATCAAGTTTGTGAAAAAAAAATGGGAAAAGATCTTAAAGGTGTTAAAAACTAAATCTTGATAGATTCAGTTGACATTCAAAGTTTTTCAAATTAAATTAGAATTTAAGCCCTATATAAAAAAGCAATACAATTAGCAATCACAAAGTAATTGATATAGCAAATAGAGCAAATACAAAGTTTTGAATTTTGAAGGAGAAGTTCTCGAGTAGAGGAAAAGAAAATTCAATAAGCAATGAGAGGAGGAGATCACAAGAACAATCGGTAATTTAGTAAGGCAACAAACAATTGAGCAATCAACAATATTAAGAAGAGTCACAAAGTAAAAAAAAGAAAAAAAAAAGAGACATATGTGTAATATTAAAGCAAACAATGCAAAGCAAAATTTTTCTTGGTAGTAGGTTTTATTTTGAGTTGGTCTAAAAGCATTGGTTATGGACACATTCTTTTATTTTTATTTATTATAGTGTTATATTTATTTGTTGTCTAATATGATTTGAAGTAATATTTGTGATACTAATTCTTTTATGAAATTATTTTGTTTTGCTAGTTTTTTACTTATTCATTTATTTCTATATTTATTTATTCATTATTTGTTTGTTTTTATTTTATTTTTACCTATTGATATATTGATTTAATTGATGAAAATAAAAATTGAATTGAATTGTTTTAGAAAAGTGTAAATATATTATTTTATGATTAAAAAGTTGTAAATATGATTGTATCATCTTTTGTAATTAATATTTGTAAACAAATAAAATGGTTGTGAATAAATTAGCTTCTTTGTCATAAGATATTTAATAAATCTGATGACGAAGCCTTTTCAAGTAAACAATGAGTTTATCTTGAATACTCTTGAAGTGAAAGAAATTTTTTTTTTGGTGAAAACTTAAAAACTTTTTTCCAATAATTAAATATTGAAATTAACAAAATGTAAGAATTAAAACCATTTGAATTAAGGCTTAGACAAGATAATATAAGACTAATTTGGTATCAATTTTAGGTGTTATGAGGTGTTCAAACCTTCTCTATACATAATTGACTCTCAAACTTAGTTTTATTGATGTAAACTAGAACTTATTTTTTTTTACAGACCCTTAATTAAGTTTAGGACAACATTAAAAAAGATAGATTCACATAAGTGACTAATCACACCTAGATAAAAAAAATTGATGGCGACTTCATATTTTTATGTTTAATGGTTAGATTCTCAGACTTGAACATTATATCAGTTTGACAACTCCACTGGGGCCCCTTAGAGAGTTTAGCAAGTTATTAATCATAAATTATCTTAAGTCTTAATTTGATGGTTTTTATTTTGCTTATTTATTTCTATATTTGTTCATTTTTTTCATATGTACTAATCTATTTG